TACACTTGAATGCTGACGCTATGTCAAGATTACCAATCAAAAGTACAAGTGAATTTTCACGAGATATTACAGATCAATTTGAAATAGATCAGGTAGAAACATTACCAGTTACAATGACAGAATTACGCAAAGAAACAGAGAAGGACAATAGTTTAAAACAGTTACTAGAAGCATTGAAAGAAGGTTCAGAAATTAAATCGCAGGATCGATTTAATATCCCACAATGGGAATTTTCTATTTATAATGATTGTATTTTCAGAAATGATGTTGCAGTAATACCGAAGAGTTTAAGGAAAAAGATCTTAGAAGAATTACATGCAAGTCACTTTGGTATATTCAAAATGAAGCAATTGGCTCGAGGACATTGTTGGTGGCCTGGAATTGCAAACGATATTGAAAATATTAGTAAGAATTGTGTTGACTGTAATAAATTAAAGAATAATGTACCAAAGATTATGCACCCATGGGATGAACCAACAGCTCCAATGGAGAGAGTACATATAGATTTTGCAGGACCATTCATGAATATGTATTTTCTGGTACTCGTGGATGCTTATTCTAGGTGGCCAGAAATACATATTGTGAAAAACATGACTGCTGAAACGACCATTAATGTTTTAAGAAAAATATTTGCATGTTTTGGTTTGCCACATGTACTAGTATCTGATAATGCTCAAACTTTTACATGCTATGAATTTAAAAAGTTTATGCAAGAAAATGGTATCATTCAAAAATTTTCAGCACCATATCATCCAGCAACAAATGGATTGGCAGAAAGATACGTGCAAACTTTTAAACAGGCTTTAAGAGCGTTAAAAGGGAATGACAAGGAAAAAGAATTATCAAAATTCCTTTTACATTATAGAAAAACACCGCATGCCACTACGGGAGTAAGTCCAGCATACCTAATGTTTAACAGGGAATTGAGAACAAGGCTAGGCTTACTGGCAAAACCCAGGAATACCTTGGAGGATAAATCAGATTTTCACCCGAAAAGGAAATTTCAGGTGGGAGAGAGAGTAGAATGTAGGGATTACATACATGGTGAAAAGTGGGAATTTGGTAAAATTATAAAATGTCTAGGAAAGTTGCATTATTTGGTCAATATGGATAACGGTTTAGAATGGAGAAGGCATGTAAACCAGATAAGGGGAATTGGAAAGGATACACCGATGGTCAGTAGTAGGAGGGATCAATGTTCGGAGCCTTGGGAGCCATATCTTTTTATGCACCAAGATCAAATAAATAAAGATCCAATAGATAATCACAAAAATCAGATTGATACTGACTTGCCTGAAGATAATTCAAGTACGCCAGGGGAAGTAAGTGATCCGGAATTTTTGTCATGCACACCGTCGATAGATCCTATTCTAAGGCGCTCAAAACGAAACGTTAAACCGCCTGAGCGATTAAATTTGTAAGGGTAGATTTCTTGATTTCTTTAATATTTGTTAAGAGTAGAATTATTTTAAATAATGCGGGGGTGAGTGTTAGGGTTATGCAACCAGTAATGTGTGTTGATGAATTCAGTGTACCCAATCCTAAGGTGACGGAAGAAAAGAGCAACAGACTTACCGACAGAAAAACAGCGATATGACACAAAGCACATCTGATTTTTTTACTTCTCGCTTCATTAAGTGGTTATGTTAAATTTAGTTAATTAGTTACATAAATAAAGCGAAGTAATAAAGTGAGTTCCATTTATTAATACATACATACTACCATGATACAGTACCAAAATTTATAGTAGGTAACTTGACGACATCAAACTTTACTTTTTAACTCATTTCGGTGAATTCGGTAAACTCTTTCATTTCTTCTACGAAGAAGATGCATCTCGAGTTTTTCGGCTTAGGTTGTTGTATCATCATTACTACGTCCTGTTCATCGTACCAGATTTGGTCTTCAATATCAGGCCAGCGCCGTCCTGATGTTCTTCTAGATTGAACCGTTGCGGAAACAAGATACTCTTTATTTCGAGTTTCAGTAACTTTACCCGGAAAGTATTTTCCGTAGTACTTGACAACCACGTATCAACGGGCTTTGGGTTTTCTCCATAGTTAATTTTCTCGTTATTCTTGCTTACAATTCTCTCTCCATCAGGAATTTCGACTACAGAAGAATTTTGAAGACCTAGAAAAACGACAGGAGAACCATTTCCAAGAAATCGTAGAAGATCTTGAGGAACTCCTTCAGCAGAAAATGGAAAAGTTAGAGATGGACCTACAGAAGGCCAAGGTACAAGCAAGGACACCTGGCGTCTCTGGAACAGCGAACCTTAAGGCCCAGACCTACGATGGACAAACGACATGGACGAAGTACCATCTTCAGTTTGAAGCAGCCGCCGCTGCCTACGGATGGACTGACCAGGAGAAAACAGCGGCACTTGTCATCGCGTTGCGTGGCCCTGCCCTGGAGCTGTTGCAAACTATTCCTGCAGCCCAACGGCAGGAATACCAAACTTTGGTCGCTGCACTGGACAGAAGATATGGCGACCAACATCGACGCCAGCTTTACCAGGCCCAGATCAAGACACGCCTGCAGGGGTCCGGAGAGAGTCTGCAGGAATTTGAAACAGACTTACGTCGGCTGGTACACCTAGCGTATTCTGAAGCACCGGAAGGATTTAGGGAGGAACTCGTTGCTCAGTGCTTTATCAGTGGATTAAATGACAACGAGTTACAGAGGGTGCTGCAAATATCTCGATTTTCTACCAGCAGCGAAGCACTGGTCAGGGCGCTGAAAATCGGCTACTTTAGCGCCATCCTAGACCGAATAAGACGGTAGAGGAACAGCCCGAGTGTACCCACAGAAGTTTGGAGGAGATGCGTAGAAAATTCGACAAACTATGTGAGCTAATAATAAACAAGGGAGTCAACAATAACCAGACAGAGAACCATAGAAGATCCCAGGATATTAGGTGCTATAGATGTGGCAGGAATGGCCATATCAAACGAGATTGTCGCATCCAAATGACATTCCGTTCATCATTAAGAGAATATCGGCATATCGGAAGATCCTAGGACATAAGTTGCTATAGATGTGGCAGGAATAGCCACATCAAACGGGATTACCGCGTCCAAATGCGATTACGTTTACCATCGAGAGAACACAGGCACCAGGAAATCAACAATAATGAGCGAGTATTGGCTGAAAAAAACAGAGACCCTAGGATGTTTTCCGTTAGGAGTTTAGGAAAAACCGCTGACAGTTTGGTGATGGGAAGGTCAATGGTAGAAGAATTCGAATGAATGTGGATACAGGCGCTATGGTATCGTTTGTGCGGACTAACTCAGTGCAAGGATTGAAGATGATGCCTCTTAGAAAAAGATTGTATTTACGTACAGTTACGAGGGAAATGGCCGTTGTACAGGGAGAGGCTTTCATGGAATTTGAGTTAGGGAATTTGAAGTTTCGGCATAGCGTTTTAGTGGCAGGCATTGAAGATGATTTTATCATTGGTATGGATGTGATCAGTCAACATGGTTTTTCGTTCTATCACCATAGAAACATCCTGAAAATCGGAAATTAGGAATTTTCTGTATCTAAAGATAAGAGACCAGGAAATATGGAAGCAAGATCAGCGGAAATTTTGATGATACCTGGTGATGTCAAGAAGACTGTGTTCGGGAAAATGGAGATAACCTCTGAGTGCCGTGTAGGACGGGTACAAAATATCGACAACGAACCAGATCGACGACGAGCTTTACTGGGCAAAGAAAAATGGCTTGTCTGTTGAAAGCACTGTCAGAGTAAGGAATTTAAAGCTTAGAACTGACGAACCATGGACGACGATACAATTCAGGAAAGATCAAATGGAAGATCCAGACATCGGAGCAATACTACGGCTCAAGGAAGGTAACGGCGAGAGACCACCGTGGCAGGATATTGCGGACAGAGGGCTCGTTTTCAAAGCTCTCTGGGCTCAGTGGAATTCACTGGTTATTGAGAATGGATTGTTAAAGCGCTCGTGGGAAAGTGCGGATGGCGGACAGTAACAACTCAGTTACTACCAAGGAAGAAAGTTAACCAGGTATCGGAAGAAATTCACGGTGGTAAAACTAGAGCCCATCTTGGGGTAAACAAGACTTTGAGCAAGCTGAGAGATTGTTTTTACTGGGTGGATTGTGCGAAGATGTGAAGAAATGGTGTCGACAATGTAAAATTTGTGCAGCCAGCCAAGGACCAAGTACTCGATCTAGGGGAAAAATGAAACAATATAACGTTGGACTGCCATTCGAAAGAATAGCTGTTGACATTGCAGGCCCATTCCATGAAACGCACAAGGGCAACAAGTACGTTTTAGTGGTGATGGATTATTTCAGTAAATGGTCAGAAGTTTTTGCCATTTCAAACCAAGAAGCATCGACTGTAGCTGAAGTATTGGTTAATAATGTCTTCAGTAGATTTGGAATTCCTTTAGAGCTTCACACTGACCAAAGAAGGAACTTCGAGTCAAGACTGTTCCAGAAGATGTGTGATCTGCTTGGTATTAACAAGATTAGGATAACGGCTTTACATCCGCAGTCTGATGGGATGGTCGAAAGATTCAATAAGACCATTGAAGAACATCTCTCGAAAATAGTGGATGAACATCAAAGAGAGTGGGATCAGCATATACCACTATTCCTAATGGCATATAGAAGTGCAGTTCACAGCACCACCGGACTTTCACCAGCGAAGATTTTATTTGGTCGAGAATTACGGTTGCCTTGTGACTTGGTGTTCGGATCACCAGACGACAGCACCACGAACGTAGAGGACTACGCGGATGAACTGAAGGAAAGGTTATTGGGAATTCATAAGGCCGTGAAGATAAGGGAGAAGTAAGATTACGCTAGCCGGTGACCGGATGAAAGCTCGTTGCGACCTTAGAGCTAATTCTACGGGATTTCAACAGGACGATAGAGTATGGTTGTATAACCCACAGCGCAAGAAAGGAAGGTCCCCAAAGTTAACTCCAGCATGGGAAGGTCCTTAGTCAGTCATCAAGAGGATAAATGATTTTGTGTACCGGATTCAACGCGGCCCTAGAAGTAGATGAAAGTAGTTCATCTGGATCGGTTGAAGAGATACCAGACAGGAAACCTTGATCAGGACGATCAAATTTGAGAAGGGGGCAATGTCAAGGTGTATTACTGGTTGCATAACTGCATACTGCTAAAATCGCAAAGTGCATTGAGGAACCTGGCGCATTCGCCAGAAAGTAAAGAAAATTATAGGATTCTTTAGAAAAATCTAGAAACAACCGCCAGGGAGTATATAAGGCCCGCGCTTTGACAGTTGGACAAGTTTAAAGTATGAAGTTTGAAGTTTAAAGTTTGAAGTCAAGTCTGAAGATAGTCTGAAGTTTGAAAAATACCGCGAAATACCGTTAGAGTAATAGTAGTTGCATAAGTTGTGTTGTAAATAGTATAAGTTGTGTGTACAGAGTGAAACAAATAAATTCGTTAAATATTTTATCGTGAGTTTAAATAGTGGACCCACGGAATCCGTAACAATATAAAATTTTCAACATTTTTTTTTTCGCAAAAAAAACCTCATAGGCGTGTTTCTGGGGTTGAACTATACTACCAGTTAAAATATCTGCATCTATTTCTGGGACATCCTGTATATACCTACAGGGTTGTTCACCACATACGACACGGAGTATTGTAGCTAAACGATGAGATTTTTACAAATTGTAAGTTTTGGGTTCGTTGAAGGACTATTAGAGCTACAATTTAAAAATATTTTTACAAGATACAGAGTGTGAACAACCCTGTATATTGTCTACATCAAATGATTTTAGTCAAAGTTGATTGATTATATGTGTAAATTAAAAATTGTTTCATTTGCAGATTGCATGAACACTATCTAATTTGATGCATAAGTGAGAACCATAGCTTTACTTGGAGAAAGCTCATTATTCTCGAATTCTACTCTAGTTATTATCATTATGTCCTACATATGAATGAAGATCGGTTAGAAAAATTTGTAATACAGTATACAGTACAGGGCAGAGAAATATATTATGTTCCGAATCAAGTTGAAATTTTTCATTAAAATGTCAGTTCTTAAATTGAATCACATTTTCATGGCGAAATAAACGTTTTGGGAAAATTTGTTAGCTTAATAACTGTAACATATTAGAAATAAAAAAACAAATCTATAGTTCTAATTTTATTAGAATGTTGCAGTTTTGATTACGGTTTATAAGAAGAAACTGCAAGAAATTTATGGGTGTTGTTATGGTTGTTGGTTGATGTTATAGTTCTCACTTATGCGATGTCAAGAAAATAAAATAATTACAACAATACTATACAATCATTTTAACAATAAACAATAACACATTGTACAGGTAGTAAGTGTTACAAAATAAATATAAAACCCTTAACCAACAGTCAATACATATTTACTTATGTAACACGAAAAACAAAATAAATAAAGTCTTAAACCAATAACCTCTTTCACTTTGTTCAGAACAGTTATTCTTCCTTATCCATTTTCCTTTTATGGCACATTATATGGTTTTTTTTATTGAACCACTGGCCTTCTCTGTTCATTTAGAACAATTGCTGATATGTCCTAAAAATAAGAGACTATTTGGCATAGTGTTTTTTTTTTCATTTCTATTTTACCTACCTGGCTGATTTACTATGATTATAATAATAATTGTAAGCTTTTTTTCCACATAGTCATTATATTTTCTTGACTTGGCGAATGCATAATTTATCTTGATCTTCTGCTTTTCGTACCAGAGTTTATAACTTTCCTTTGTAGCAAAGTCATAGGCAAAGTTTTGTGTTTCCATTTCCAATTTTACTTTATGGTGTTTACCTTCAACTGTTGTTGCAATATACTGCAACTTCCAAAAACTATACAGACTACCATATTTAGAGTACACAGTAGGCAATTAATATGTTTCTTATTATTATAGTGTTTTTGTCAGTCAAGTGAAACAACACAAATTAAAAATAATCCAGTCTCCCAAAACGCATTCACAAATTGTAAATCATCTTTAAAATGCTTGTAGTATTTATTGTATTATTAATAAATACTAAATTATTGTATTATTTAAAAATACAGGAATGCTGATGAGTTTTTAACTTTGTTTTTAAATAGGGCCATATTTACTCTGATAATTTATAAAAGTGCCGTTGTTTACGAAGTCCATAGTCCATCAGCGACAGTTCAGCTGACTTTGACATAGACCGGTTGCGCGGTTCAGCTTCCCAGTATTTTGTCCTTAGAGAAGGAAAGAGAGACTCTTTCCTTGTCTAAGCTATCGTGAGTTTTAGTGTCGTCTCGCCAACTACATCCAATTACCCGGATCAAACCCGGATTTCAGTTAATTCGACGCAATGTGTTGCCATATGGACAAGAAAGTATATGTTTAATAGTAAGTCATAAAATAACAACACCTGACGAGTTTCCAGAGACGCATTACATTTTTGAGATTGTGATATTATTACATAAAATAAATTAAAAGTTAAATTAAAAAACTTACCCAACATTAAAAAAAGATACTTATGACAGATCGATGTAACTGTGACAGTTCTTTTTTTCGATACACACTTAACTAAAATACACTTCACTGTGCTGCTTATAATAACTGCTAAAATAACAGTCCCCATTTTTAACTTAACACATTATTTTCATATATGCTTCATCACAATTTGAACCACTGATTTACAAAACACCCTGAGAACCACACATTACTTTGAATACCTTTCTGAATGAATAAATGTTGAAAATTATTGTCTCTTACCGCCAATTTACGAACTACTTTCAATCTAAGAAAATACATGTTTCACTCAACAATTTTAAATACGTATTTTGTTTTTTCGCTATTTTTTCGATGTATTTCGACAATTCCATCGACAACCCAACCGTCGACCAAGAGAGCCGCGCATCACTGGTAGTTGCTCATTGCTAACTGCTCACTGCTCCTTCGTCGCGCCGCCGTGTCGAGCTTGCATCATGCGGGGTTGCCGTAGTGTCAACAATTTCAAATTCAAGACACTCGAAGCAATCAAATTCTTATTAAATTTTAAAAATAAAACAGAAAAACATGAAAGGAAACAAACAAAACACAAATGAATTGATTATTGTTAAGGTCACAAAACAGAAATTTCTAAAATGTTTATCGTAATTCAGAATTCAATATAACTAAAACAGCCCGACGAATTATAAATTCATTTTTGTTTTGTTTGTTTCCTTTAATGTTTCTCTGTTTTATTTTTAAAATTTAATACGAATTTGATTGCTTCGAATATCTTGAATTTGAAATTGTTGTAACTACGGCAACGTTGCATAACATCGTTGTCTGACGTAAGCCCGCCACGACGGCGCGGCTCAAAGGATTAGTTCACACGCGGCACTCTTGGTCGACGCGCGACGGCTGGGTTGCGGATGGAACTGTCGAAATACATCGAAAAAATAGCGAAAAAACAACATACGTATTTAAAATTGTTGAGTGAAACATGTATTTTTTTAGATTGAAAGTAGTTCGTAAAGTGGCGATAAGAGACGGTATTCAAAGTAATGTGCGCTTTTCAAGGTGTTTTGTAAATCAGTGGTTCAAATAAAACAGAGAAACATGAAAGAAAACAAACAAAACAAAAATGAATCGTGTTATCGACGCCTATGATCTTTATGATAGATAGTCATTGTCACGCCATGCCTGCACCCCGTGTCCGCTGATGTTTGCGAGTAGCGGAGTCGTAGGCTTTGGAAACAGTTGTATGTCGGAGGTTGTTGATTTCGACCCAGAGAATACATTGCTGGTCAAGATAGTTAGAATTAGATTTAAAATATCAATTTCTGTTAAATATATTAATATCCCGATTACAATCGATTATTCGTTGGGCTGTTTTCGATATATTCTAAATTACGATAAACATTTTAAAAATTTGTTTTTTGTGACCTGATTGTGAATAATATGATGAATCATTTTATTAAATTTATTCCAAAATAAAGTTATTTTGCAGCATAACAAAGAGTTTCGTAAACGTCATAAACGTAATGTTTTAGATAATTTTCGGTGGTTTTCGTTAAGTTTTCATTGAAAGCGTAAGTACTAAAAATAATTAATGTGTTTTTTTTCCTATAATTATTAATAATGAGCACTGATAAAAGATGAAATTTAACAATCCCAATTTTTTGTGTGGAAATTGTCTATGAATTTATAAATGTAGAACTATGTAGAATGTGGATAACATAGAAGGTTGCAACACTGCAAGGTTTAGATACACCGTAGAGAAATCTCAGGTGAATAGACAAGTGGCACTAAAAAGTTTTTTCAAATTTCCCGGAAAATGTCAAGATAAATTTTAAATTTTCAACATTATTTTTTCGCAGAAAACCCTCATAGATGTGTTTCTGGGGTTGGACTATACTACCAGTTAAAATATTTGCACTTATTTCTGGAACACCCTGTATATCCATTGTTGAAAACAATGAATTTAAAAATCGCGCCCTCAATTAGGTAATTAAAAGTTTAATTGGTATCAAATATAGCTTGATGTGACAAGAAGCATTTTTTGGAAGTCACCTTTGGAAAAATATTTCCAATAAAAAAAAATATATTTACTTTTATTATTTATTAATAGTAAAATATATTATTATTTATTAAAAGTAAAATATTTCTTTTTTACAAGGGACAAAAATGTAGTAAATACTAGAAGGACCATTTTCGAAAATCGGGCGTCAGTGGAGTTGGAAAATATTTATACTAAAATTTATTTAGCGGTGGGGTAGCTTTCACCTTTCCCGATTTTTTTATGATAGTCAAATAATAAATCGCTTAGTAAAGCATAAGCACCCCAAATATCATTTAAATTGGAATATCGGTTCATAAAATATCTTAAAACATGTGTCACTTTTGATGCCCTCTAACGGACAAACCAAGTACTTTCGTATAGAGATAAGATGTGTCCAATGGACTTATTTTGATTGCAAAAATACGTAGTAGTAAGGTAGTAGTTCTATGTCCATGGAATATATGAATTTCTTAAAAAAATATACATTTTCTAGGAGGTGCACCAGCAGGACCAGCTGGTACCGGTAAAACTGAAACTACAAAAGATCTTGCTAAGGCCCTTGCTATTCAATGTGTGGTCTTCAATTGTTCTGAAGGTTTGGACTTTAAAATGATGGGTCGTTTTTTTTCTGGATTAGCCCAATCCGGAGCTTGGTGTTGTTTCGATGAGTTTAATCGTATCGATATTGAGGTTCTATCAGTTATTGCGCAGCAGCTGATCACAATTAGAAATGCAAAAGCAGCAAAAGTAGCGAGGTAATATTACTACACTCTAAAGCTTCAACCCAAACCTCGAAATTAGTGGAACTAGTAGTTTCAAATAGCGTAGAAGTTTGTTTCTCTAATTTTAATTTAAGCATTAAGAACGTCAAAATTACTGGTGGCCATTTTCAATTTGTAGAAAAGGTTAACAAACTTTTATCTTTTGTCATTAATTATACTTAAGAATTAGCAAGTAATGGTAATTTTGTGCCTTTGATGATCATCCGTCAAGAGAAATTGTGGCTAGGCCCTATGGCTCTAGGCCCCTAAAATGGCTAGGCCCCATTTTCTATCTAATAAAGTAAAAAAATACCGAGGGTGCCATTTAAAAATAAAAAGTTTTAGTCATTTCCGACGAAACAGAGGTGACCAAAAACAATTGAATACGTCAACCAATCCTAATTTATGTCATATACTAACATACCAAATCTCATTTTTTAATCTGAAAAATAAAAAAAGTTATAGGGGTGAGCCACTTTTGAAACGCACCCTATATAGTATAGTCATGAAACTAAGCTTCCGAAATTTTTAGATTTATGTTTGAAGGTCGAGAAATTAAGCTAGTTCAACGATGCGCTGCATTTGTCACAATGAACCCTGGTTATGCAGGCCGAACTGAACTGCCAGACAATCTAAAAGCCTTGTTTAGACCCATAGCAATGATGGTGCCCGATTACGGTATATTTCAGAACATTTTATTCCATAAATTTGAACCTTTGCTCTCCTATATCTAACCAAAATTTTACTTAATTAATCAGAATGAAGTACCCATTAGAAAACTACATTAACTCTTGTCGAAGTTCTTGATAATGAGAGTAAGAACGAGTCGTCTGTTAATTTATGTGTAATAATTATTTTAATTACCTACCCAATAATACGTGTGTGAGTCGTCTGTAATTTTTAAGTTGCAACCCCCGTTTTTCTATACAAAATTGGATTTAGCTTACAATTCAGGATCTTCATCGCAGAGTCTGCAGCAAAGACCTCCTTGAGACAGGTTGAGATTAGTTGGGAGTTAACTGAGCGCCTATATAAACGTTCAATTTGTAGATATTAGTTTAGTTTTAATCATCTGCTGATGATTAAAACTAAACTAATATCTATATACATATAAACAAAAGATGTTATCGTGGGTATTGTAATAAAAAAGAAGAAAGAATTTATTGGCCTAGCCCACAGTAAGATTATTCATGAGACATGATTAAAACATGACTACCCGTAAACACTCAGTGTTTCTGCCTTCCGGCTTCGTCAATATGGGAGGAATCAGCAACGATGAACTAGCGATCCTGAAAAAAGAAAAAAGGGAAGCAAACGAGGCACAAGGCGGTTTTTTAGTAGTAACGCTTGCGAATTGTGAGCTACTGCCTAACCAGGCTGCAAATGGCTAATATTCCTGCTAAACATTTGCAGTTCTTTTGTAGTTTTTGGTGGTTACTATACCTATGAACCTGTCTGTTTCTCCAGTGGAGAATCTGCTTTTTCCTGATCAAGAGTTTTACTGCACTATGGGTGCAGTAAACACAGTAACATTTGGGTATTCCCAGTACTGGCTCTGGACCAAGATAAGATTTCGATAATTCTTGCCTTGTTAGTTCATCGGCTTGTTTTTTGCTTGGAATGCCACTGTGGGCAGGAATCCAGAATAATATAATTCTGTTCCTTTCTGCCCGAGCTTCTTCACCCACGAATTATTCCATCATTGGCGTCAATCAATTGGAATTCCTCCCTGTCTTGGGACATGCGAATAATTGCACTGACCTCTCCAATATTAAACCACTGGCGTAAATTCCGCAATCAGGAGAACCGTTTACGCCAGATGCCTTATCGTCCTTCAATATTTCCCTCAACAATCAGCTGTAGGTAATTTGTTATTCCTAAAAATATGACCAAAATATGGTTTATGTATGTATTGTATTATTCATTATGTTTATGTATTATTCATTCACTCTAATACTCCAAGATTTGTTATTCGTTCGGTCCATGAAATTTTTAATATTCGTCGGTATAACTATATCTTAAATTAATTTAAGCCTGACATGGTCCGTACCTTTAATATCAATCCCTCGACTTCGTATAATAAAGTAGACAACATTTTAGTACGTAACATTTGGTAGCTCGCCATCGAGTAGATTCGGGTCTCAGTTACAGAGTAGGGTTTTCATTTTGGAAAAAGTGTTTCTGGCTAATTCAATTCTATGGTTGATTTCTTCATCAGGATCCCATTTATCATTTAGCCAGCACCCTAAGTATTTAAATATTCTTACCCTTTCTATATTTTGTTCTTCTACCTACTTGTATCCTGATATTTTCAATATTTAGTTTGCTGAAGTTTTTTGACAATAATAAATAAGATAAAGCTAGATAAAATCGAGAAAAATATGCACTTTAATTTTTTTTACAGAGAATTTAAGTATGTAATAAAAAATGGGGGTAGCCATTAAAAAATAAGAAAGTTGCTCTGTCAACTTTCGGTATTTCCGTTAGTGCCTCCACATTAAAAAAAATTATCGATAAATCTCGTTGGGAAACAATGACGTGCAAAAAAATTCCTGTCTAGTTATTGTAGTTTTCTAGAAACTTTTAATGCACGCTTGACACCTTGTGTGACTAAAATAATAAAATGTGGTATTGTTTGACGTTCTAGCTTTAATTGCCGAAGTAATATTATATTCGGAAGGTTTTGAATCATCTAAGAAATTGTCCCAAAAAATGGTACAAATGTACAAATTATGTAGTGAACAACTATCACAACAGGACCATTACGATTTTGGAATGAGAGCAGTAAAAAGTGTTTTGGTTATGGCAGGATCTTTAAAAAGAGATAATCCTGAGAGAAATGAAGATGTGGTATTAATATGTGCTCTCAGAGACAGTAACTTACCCAAATTTCTGTCTGATGATGCAGTTTTGTTTAAGGTAAATATTTAAATAATTGATTATTTATTTATTTATTTAACTGTACTTAATTTAAACACATATCAAGGTAACTACATGTAAAGACCGTAAAGAAAAAAAGAACAAAATACAATTACAATTACTTAAAATTAGACAAAAAAGACATGTATTATAATATAATATGCAAAAAAAAAAAAAAAAATATATATATATATATATATATATATATATATATATATATATATATATATATATATATATATATATATATATATATATATATATATATATATATATATATATATATATATATATATATATATATATATATAGATTTATTAAACCGCTTATACGAGCCCAAAAACTACGTTGCTTCATTGGGCTCAGACCCGATTTCGACATTTCAGGCCCGGGGTCGGGTCTGAGTACGATTTCAGTGGTTATCATCTAGAACGGTTTCCCCACTTCCCCTGACCAAATTTCAGCTGGGCCTGAAAAAATGGTTTTACGTTTTTTATATACGATTGGGGGTACACCGGTATTGTCACGGGCGGCGCCACCTTCGACATTAGTATAAGTGTATAAGCCGATTTACATTGAATCGATGTATTCAGACCCAAGAACCGGCAACACGGTAAAGCAAACTATTAAAGGGAAACGAAGATATAGCCGTGTTATGTTTGGTAGAAAACAAAATGCTCATACTCTAATTAGAATATTAAGCAATTCAGACGAAAAAAATGAAAATAAGTAGTCTTTTAAAATTATTCCTACTAGTTTCATTTAAAAATTTCAATAATTTACGGTTTAATCTTTTTTTTGCATTGCTGTCATCACCGGATTTGTAGAAGTAACTAAAGTTTTATTGTCGAAACTGGTCGTTCGGCTAATAAATATTAGAAACAAAATGATTTCGATCGGCGGGTCAAAAATTGTACGAGTACCTAAAATTTTATTTCGATGCTATGATTTCGTTGTAGAAGTACCAAATTTTTTTTTTCATCTAAATCGATCAGCGATCGTCGCGTCGTGTCAGAGAATTAGAGAATTGTAGGAGTAACTACAAATTTATTTCGATACTGTGATTTCGCTATAGAAGAACCTAAAATTTTTTCGTCTAAATCGATCGTCGTGTCAAAAAATTGTACGAGTACCTAGAAATTTATTTCGATACTATGACTTCTTTGTAGAAGTATTTAAAAATTATTTTCATTTAAATCGATCGTCGTATACCGGATGCGTCTCTATAATAGATAGAAATTTAAAATACGATTTTTTTAAGCGAAAATGTCAAAAGTTGACATATGATATGTTATCCTATTCAGAGTGTCATTTTCTATCGACTAATGTAAAAATATACCGGGGGTGTCATTTAATAATCAAAAGTTGTAGTCATTTCCGTTGAAACTGGAAGTGACCAAAAACAATTGAATACGTCAATCAATTCCAATTTATGTCATATACTAACATACCCAATCTCGTTTTTTCATCCAAAAAAAAATAAATAAAAAAGTTATAGCGGTGGACCACTTTTGAGACGCATCCGCCAATAGAATTACTGGAAATCTATTCAAGGTCGTTACGCCGCACAGTGGATCGAGGTATAGGGATATAGCGGTCATAAATAGAAAAAAATACATTAATAAATAATTTGTAGCCCAGCTGCTTTATTTATGGCGAAAAGAACAATATCTATATATTTTTATAATTTTAGTTTACGCCCCTCCTTTAAAAGGTTAACGTGGGGGATGGGTTTTGGAAAACGTTTGGATTGGGTGAGCAAGTGAAAGGTGAAAGAGATAAGTTTATAAATTCTTTAAAAATCACTTCTTGTATCACTAGCTCTTTGTTTAGACCTTTCTTAATAAAAAAAAATCAAGTTCCCCCTGATAAAATAAAATAACAAGATACTAATTTAACAATGGGATCCAAAAAATATATTATATGCGTGCAGACCAAGAAGTGTTTATAATTTAATGATGTTTGTAAAAAAATTTCATTTTGTAAATCAAGTCATTTCTATACTTAAAAGAAATTTTAAACAATACTAAAATAAACCTGAAGTACCTATAAAATTAAAAAAAATATACATTTCACAAAACAAAAAAACTAAACCACCATTACAACTCTGAACGTAAAAGTAGAAAATAATATTTATGTAAGAAAACATATTCTCAACCAACTCAGTAATATCTTCTATAAAATGAGTTCTTTGGCTTCATCATCCAGCTCTAAACATTCACTTTTCTTCCACATATGTCGAAATGCAGCCAAATAAGGGTCAGAGGATATTAGGAGACAATTAAAAATATCTTGATTTGTGGCATACCGTGAACGTTTTCGACCATTGTCTTTTCTGAAAAAACGTAACTTAAAATTGTGTTGCGGCCTATTGAGAAACACGGACTACTTCAAATAAATATATCGTATGAATAGGCAGAATTCGCCAGACCATTTTTTGTTTATAAACAAATACTTTCATCAAGCAATATTATTTGCGATAAGAGGAAACGTCGATAAGCGTCGATAGTATTTTTTTGGTATTTTGAAAACTATAAAAATATGGATAAAAACGACGTTTAAAAAAACATGAAAAAATAATGCATAATGTGAGGTTCAAGTTAACGTCTCCTTTCTGCTGCAATGGCTAAACTGGACGGCACCTACTTGTTTACGCGGAATCCGAACCGCGGTCCTCGGCCATATCATGGTCAATGGCCTACCGACTTAGGAAGTGTCTAAATTAACTCTTACTCACGAAATATCCGATCTCATCCGGCCTTGAACCGGCGTGAATGAGCAGTGTGTGTCAATAGATTTTACACTTTTCCCTTTTTGGACAACAGCACGATGCAAAGTTTCGAACCGGTCACCCGTCCATCCAATAGCATCGCCTTACGTCGCTTAACTTCGGTGTTCTAATGGGAACCGGTGTTTCGACGTAGCTGGGCCGTTGCCCCTAATACATAATAATAATTTCAGAACTTTCTTAGTAATAGTCCAAAAGTAGAGAAAACCTTTTCCTTAAAATATAAAAAATAATAATCATCTCGGGTTTGTTAAAGCCTCCAGGAATATTTAGATTCTTATTTGCTAAGACTAAGCGAAAAAGACAATTAAATGTGATGGGTTTAAGAAAAAAAAAACACGGTTACAAATTTTATTCAAAAAATTTGTTGTTGTTTTTCTTTAAACCAATGCTACTACTATTCAAAAACTTTAACAGTGTCATATAGTTTAATTTTTCCAAAATCACTTATGGCCGCTCTTAAACATATGCAAGAGCCACTGTGCGCCGTTATGCCGATACGCCGTTTTTAGGATAGTGTGAATGCACCCTCAATAGAATGACATATCATAATATGTCAATTTTTTGATATTTTCGCATATGGTTTATTTGAAATTGTAACATGTGGTTCATAATGACAATTTGACTCGAAGTACCATGTGTGTGGTACCAAATTATTCATAAAAAATGCTTTTTCCAAATATGCTAACGGGCCTCCCTTGTTCCGTTTGGAAAAATTGAGATATGATTAAAAATACGATTTGGGCATCTTATAAGAACGGGCCCGGACAAGACACGAAAATCATTAGATTATCAAATCTATTTTTCCAAGGCTCCTTGATTAAAAATTAGTGTTTTTAATACAGCCATGGCACTCTAGATTGAAATTTAAAATACAATTTTTTTAAAGCGAGAATGTCAAAAGTTGACATATGATATGTCACTCGATTCAGAGTGTCATTTTCTATCAAATAATGCAAAAATATACGGATGTGTCATTTAAAAATGAAAAGTTGTAGTCATTTCCGGTGAAACAGGAAGTGACCAAAAACAATTGAATACGTCAATAATTCCTAATTTATGTCATATAGTTACATACCAAATCTCGTTTTTTTATCTAAAAAAAATTAAAAAGTTTTAGCGGTGAGCCACTTTTGAGACGCACCCGGTATAAAATGACAGCAATCTTCGTTTCATGCCACCGCTAACGCCGTTTTTTTTCGATTATATGGTAGTTAATCAGTACAATAATTAACTTTATTACATTACTACGTTCACTAAGATCTAAAATAGTAATTTTAGTGTAACAAAAATGTTGATTGCTACAGTAATACGTTGTATATTCAGTTTACGGTTGGATGCTATCTACCAACACCATATAAATATAACAAACACGTTCTATGGTTGCATCTCTATAATATGTTCTATTTTCTATCTATGTTTACTTACTATGTATTCGAAAACTTAATTTGAGTAATATATGGTAGTATAATATTATTAATATTAATATTCATTAATCGCAATATGAATGAGAATAGTGCTTTCTTTTAATCACAATTCTAATAAATTGAACTTGAAAGTATGTGTTTCCCAGAAAAAATATATATATATACATATATATATATACATATATATATATATATATATATATATATATATATATATATATATATATATATATATATATATATATATATACATATATATACATATAATATGTACATGCAATAATATATGTATAATATATATGTATATATATGTATATATGTATAATAATATGTAATATGTAATAATATGTATACGCTTAATACATATAATATATATGCATATATATATATACATATATCAATAATAACTATATATATGTATATATATATATAATAATATGTCATATATGTATATACATGTAATAATGTATATATATAGCATATATATATATATACATATAGCATATATATACGTATATATATATATATGCATATATATATGTATATATATATGTATATATATATATATATATATATGTATGTATATATAATAATATATAATATGCATATATATATATATACATATATATATACTGCTATACATATATATATATATACATATATATATATATACATATATATATATACATATATATATATATACATATATATCGCGCAAGCGCAGTGCGCCTCCTCCGCCTCCTCATCCTGATGGTGAATCGGCCATCTCCCTCTACTAGCTCTCATTTTCACAGTTT